TCGGGGCCGCACGCCGCCTCTCGTCGTGCTGGCGCTGCTCCTCGGCCTCCTCGGCGGCGACGCGCTCCTGCGCCTGCTCGGTCTTGAGCTCGAGGACGGCCAGGTACTCGACGAGGCGCTTCTTGACCTTTTCGAGGCCAAAGTGATCCTCGTCGAGGATGCGGCGGGCGCGCTCGACGATGCCCTCGTTGGGCTTCTGCGCATCGGCAGCGGCATGGGCAGCAGCACCGCCGGCGGCGGCGGCCTTGGTCGGCGGCGCCGGCAGATCGGCCGTAATCTTTTCCCACGGCAGCTCGGCCATAATCTCGAGGTAGGTGATGACGACGCCGCGCTCGACGCTCTGGGGCGGGATGCGGGCGAGGCGCTTGAGCTCCTTGTCGCACGCCTTGCGCGCTTCGGGGCTCAGGCGGGTCTCTTCGAGCTTCTTGGCCAGCTCGGCCACCTCGTCCTCGTCCTCGTCGTTGCCGCTCGAGGCGGGCGCGCCGGGACCTCCACGCGGCGAAAAGGGGTTGCGACGGTCGCCAGGGCTGCTGCCACCGCCGCGGGGTGGGGCCACGTCGCCGCCGCTGCTCCGACGTGGCAAGGGTCCTCGGATGGTGATGATGCCGTTGCCGAGCTTGCCCGGGGCGCTGCCGTTGCCGTTGCCGTTGCCGCCGTCGGTGCCGTCGAAGCCGGCCGATGCGATCTTGGCCGCGACGCCCTGGTTGAGGGCGGCGAGCTGGGTCAGGAGGGCCTCGAGCTGGGATCGGATGACGGCCTCCTTGTTGCTGGCGTTGAGGGGCGAGGCGAGGGCGACGAGGAGCTCGCGGGCGAGCCGGACGCGCTTGGCGCCCTCTGCGACGACGTCGGTCGTGTGGCGCACGCGCTCCTTCTGATCCCAGTCGCCGAGGACGCCGACGCGCTCGGACCACTCGCAGGCGCCGCCGAGGGTGCCCATGATGACGTCGGCGAGAAGCCCGGCCTGGGACTCGCGGCAGTCGCGGACAAAGGTGCGTAGCTTCTTGAGCAGGCTGGCGGGCATGAGGGGCAGGCCGGGCCCGACCATGGGGCTGGGGTCCTGGTGCTGCGGATCTGCTGGGCTGCCGGGCGTGTCTGTTGCGCTGGACGGGACGGCGAGGAGTGCGATGGCGTCGATGAGCTCGATCGAGACCTTTTTGAGGCGGGTGACGAGGTCAATGTCTCCGGGGGCGGCCTCGGGGAAGGTGGGCCAGGCGTCGTCGTCGACAAAGGGGGTGGTGGCGGCGAGGGGTACGGGAACGTCTGGGATTGCGAGGTTGCTCTTTGGGTCGAGCGAGGTGGCGGTGAGGGGGGCGCGGACCGAGAGCCAGCGGTCGATGCGTACGCGGGTGAGGCCGGACACGACGAGGGTGCAGGTCTGGTTGTGCGGGTTGCGGGTGAGGCGCATGAGGCGTGCGGCGCAGCCCCAGTCGAAGAGGTCGTTGATCTTTACGCGGGTGTCGAGGTCGTCGTGGTTGGGGTTGGGGTTGGGGCTGTTGGAGCGATCGTTTGGCGGTGATGGTGTGGTGGGGGGCAGTGCGGGTGCGGTGGTCTTTGTGGCGTTTTTTGCGGCCGAGTGGGTTCCGCGCGGGGCGCGGACGGTGGGTACGCAGGCGATGATGATGGGCCTGGACGAGTCGGAGAGGGACGAGGTGGCCGAGGGGCGGGAGCGTGGTGGGCGTCTGTTTGTGTTGTTCTTTGAGCCGTCGTCCGAGTTTGCGGGGGTGGCCGAGTCGGAGAGCGAGGCCGAGAACTGGAGAGCGGCCTTGAGGAGGCTGAGGGAGTGTGCGTAGGAGATGTTGATGGAGAGGAGAAGGTTCGGGTGGAGGACGAGCGGGTAGGGGAGGGGAAGGACGGGGAGGCGGTCCGGGATGGAGATTGAGGCGTTCATGGTGGGCGGTGCGGGGGTCAAGAGGTTGGTGGTGGTGGCGTTGCACGATGGTGGAAGAGGGACGTGTTGCGAAGATAGGGCGGAAGTGATGGCTAGCGATGGCTGCTTGATCGATGGCGGTAGTGGTGGGGGTGGTGGGGGTGGTGGTGGTGGTGGTGGTGGTGAAGAGGAGATCCGGGGTGGTGACTGTGAGCGAGGAAGGGGGGCGTGGCGGCCCGCTTATCACACCATGGCCAGGCTGGGTGGCTGCCTGCCTTGCTGCCTGGCTGGCTGACACTGCCTGACTACCTGCCTGCTGGCCACCAGAGCGCTTCGGCAAGCAGCCGTTGCCGGACCAGCCGAGGCCCAGCGGCGGTGGAGGCGCCCGCCCGCCCAAAAAAGTGCGGGGAAGGCCTGCCGTGGCCACAAGCAAGCTAAGGCGGCCTGGCAGCAGGGTCGCGTGAATCGGCCTCGCCTCTCTCTTGGGCCTAGGCTCTGCCGGCCCACGCTTCGTCACCACCGCCACACGTTGCGCCTCTCGCCACCGCCTTCGCTGCAGAAATAATATCAAACGAGCGTGGCCACTCACATCAACACTACTCTAGAGCAACGACCCTCAGCGCGCGCGCAGCTAGGACGCAACACGGCCTGCGACAGGGATACGCCCGCACCGCAACGCAACGCAACGCACCGCAACGCCCGCCGCTACGTCGCCCAGCGTCGACCGGGCGCCAGGCCACGGTTGCACCGATTATAGTACATCGTCAGCAGCCCCGCCGACACCGTCGTGAGCAGCAGGCTGCCCAGGTTGGTAAACATGCCCGTCGGAAACGATGGCGCCTCGCTCGACCGGTAGATCCACACCCCCACCATCTGCCCGCAGTTGCCCACCGCCACGCACAGCGCCACCTCCAGCACCGTCGCCGTCGTACCGCGCGCGTTGGCGCTCACCCGTCCCAGGTTGCACGGGATCGATGCGAATGCGCACGGCACCGCCACCATCATGACCCTGTCGCCGAGTCGCGCCGTCAAGCCAATCAGTCGTCAGCTCGCGTTCGCACCTCTCCTCTCCGCTACCCGTGCTCAAACTCACGCGTATCGCTCGTTGTACCCGGCCTGCTTGGGCAGCCCACCCAGAACCCCAAACGAGGCCACCGCGAGCAGAGAGCAGACGGTCGTAACGGCACCACGCTTGTCGTACCGATCCGCCACCCACGCCATCCCTACGACAAAGACCCACGCAACCGCGTACGGCGGCACCCTGCCAGGTCGTGCAAGGCAACGGGGCGGCGAGGCGGCGAGGCGGCGAGGCGGCGAGGCGGCGAGGTGACGAGGCGGCGAGGCGACGAGGCGACGAGGCGGCGAGGCGACGAGGCGACGAGGCGGCGAGGCGACGAGGCGATGAGTTGATGTCAGCATCACCTCCTCTCCCTCCCGCGCTCTTCCACGACCGACGTACGTGAACAGGTTGGCCTCGATGCCCTTCTTGCCCATGCCCTGGATGATCGTCGGTGCAAACAGCGAGATGCTCGAAAACGGCGCAGACACGCCCTGCCAGGCCAAACCTCGCGTCCAAGCGGCGGTCGCGGTCACCGTCAGCCAACGAGTCCAAAGGCGAAGGCCGAGATGCAACGACAAGCTGCAGGGACGACCTTGGAGGCCGCGACTCACGAGGAAGGAAGCGTAATGCAGCCATGCCCGCCAGTCGGCGAGCACCTTTTTGGCCTCGCTCCACGTCATCCGCTCCTCCTGCTTGGGCAGGCCGTCGACGGCATCCAGGCGCCGCCGGACGAGCGCCTTTTCGCGATCCGAAAGGAATCTCGACTGTTCGGGCCAGTCGGGAAGGCAGTACCACGCCACGGGCGCCACGAGGATCGAGGGCAGGCCTGGACGAGCAAGCCGAGCGCGCGCACGGGGCGGGGCAGAGGGTCGGTCAGTCCGGGCCGGTTCTGTCTTATCGGATCGACGCGGCGCCGCACGCACCTTCGAGGATGACGAGCCACTTCCACGCCTCGAGGCCGGCGGTGCCATTCATGAACGAGACACCCGTGGCGATCGCGCCGCCAAACGCGCCCGCCAGAGCCGCGCTGGCAATGATGAGTGCGGCGCGAAACGAGATCTCGTCGGGGCGGTAGTGGAAGTTGAGCAGGCTACACGGGGGCGGCGCGCGAGGTTGTCGTCAAAGCGCGGGCGAGAGCGATACACGGTCAGCACAGCACCACACACCTCGCCAGGGGGCTGGGTTGCGTGCATCCGTCCGCCGGCGCCACCGCCGTGCGACGACTCACCAGATCAATGAGGGAAATAGGCCGGCCTCGAACGCGCCCAGGACGAAGCGGACGGCGGTGAACGATGCAAAGTCGTGCGTGGCCGCGCAGAGCATCGTCATGGTGCCCCAGCCGGTGCAGAGGAGGGCGATCCAGCGCGACGCGCCAAACCGCTTGGCGCCCATGCCCATCGGGATCTCGAAGCCCATCAGCGCCTGTCAGTCCGATGGCATCGAGAGGGAGATGGCGGGTGCTTCAAGGTTTAGCATGCGGGCGGTGCACCTGAACGCTGCTGCTGCGCTGCGCGGGCCGCGACGACACTGACGAGATAGAAGATCTCGAGCGACACCTTGTACTGGTACTCGGACATGCCCAGGCTCTGGAGCAGCGAGTCGCCCGAATGGGTATTGAGCACCTTTGCGTTTCCGACGTTGGTCCTGCGGTAGATTGCGGGAATCAGAAGCGATTGAAGCTCGTCAGCTCCAGTCGTCTCTCTCGACTCAAGCCGTGACCGTACGAGGGCCGAGCTGTCGAGCATCGCGCTCGAGTCTCGTCCTGTCCTGGAGCTTGGCGGGCTCACCGGTCGAGGCTGCAAAGAAAGTAGAGAAAGATGGCAAGCGGCATGATGTGCAGGTCCTGCTTGAGGATGATGCGGCGCACCTCCGGGCTCGTCTTTCGCACATCGTCAACCCCCTTGCCGCCGTCGTCGTTGCAGCTGTCGAGTTCGTCTTGCTTGGTAGAAAAGGAGCTCTGGGATTCCTTGTGGAAAATCGTCGCCGCTCCGCTGCCGCCATCGCCCAGTGTGGCTGCGTCCATGGTGCCCAGGACAGCGGGGGGATCCGTTTGTACGTCGTTTCGGTGTCGACTGTAAGGTGGTTTCCCGGACGGTGGAGGGAGGTGGTTTGATGGTCACTTCCTGTGTTCGATGGGAAAGAGCAGGGAGAGAGGAGCTTGGCATGGGTCGTGCCGGGGCGGGCTTCGACCTATAAACCGCCCTCGGATCGTGGCGCGGCTGAAGATCCATCGCATCGCAACGCAACTTACCGTCTCTCATCCGGATCAGGCATGCCGAACCGCCACAGCGAGTTGGTGGGTAGTGACATACAGTTGCCGGGATGCGATGCGAGTGTGGGCGGGCCGTCGTGGGTTGGGTCGGATAGATTGAGACCCGGTTAGGCTGCTGGTCGCGAGGGCAATGCAGATCGAAGGTGGTGGCGTAGTCGTGCCTCTCGGGTTCCCCCTTAGCCTAGCTCGAATATACCGGCGGCTTTGTATCCGGTTCAGTCTTCCCTAGCCTGGCCTCGTCCGGGAATGGGGGGACCGTTTTGTTCTAGATGCAACGTCTACTCGGTTGCTCGGCGTGTCTGGTCGAGTTGGGTTGTGATTGCGCCTTGTAGGACGGCGAAGAGGGGCTTGGTGGGGTGGGGGGAGGGGGGATGCGGCGTCAGGTCGGGGGTCGGGTATGGACCGCTCGAGGTTTTCATCGTCTCTCTAGGAGAGGGTTGGAACGGAATCGATAGGCCGCACCCACCTCGTCCGAGGAGAGGCGTGGCGGGAGAGAGAGGGAGAGCAAGACGGTAAAAGGCGCTTTGGACGACGCCCATTCAGCCGGACGGGGCTCGAGACCCGATCGGACCGAACCAGACAGCAGGCAAGGAGGCTGACTACTAGGGCTAGCGGGGGATGGGCGGTTGGCGCGGCAGCCGTTGCGTTGCGGTGCGGTGCGTTGCGTCGTCACGCCCCGCCGTGGCGACAGAGCGAGGCGCCGAGAGGTTCCGTCGGGTCGATGGCCGGACAAGCCCAGGCGGCCTCCCACTCTCGAGCGACAGGGAAAGAGAGCTAGAGAAAGAGAGAGAGGGAGAGAGAGAGGGAGAGAGAGCGCGCCAAAGAGAGAGCGAGGGAGACGTGCCCGGCCTCGACAAGGCAGGACTCTGGCCCACCAACACAGACGGCAACCGAGAGCCGACACGAGCAGGCCGGGCCGGGATGAGAGAGGTGACAGGTTCATTCGTCGATGCGAAACGGGATAAGTCGAGCGTCGGGGGCTCACAACCTAGGCTAAAGAGACGAGGGGCCCGGATCAAAGCGGGGAACAGGTTCCGTCCAAGAGGACATGACATGGCGGGGCGGGGCCAACGCGGAACGATGAGCGCCGGGGTTGTCGTCGCTCGCTCGCCCGCTCGCTTGCTGGCACAGTGGCCTCCCTCCTCAAAGATCGTCGAGGTCGCTGTCGTCGTCGGCGTCGTCGCCGGCCTTCTTGGCGCCGTTGGCCTTTGCCTCGCCCTCGGTGTCTTCGTCGTCGTCGTCGTCGTCGTCGTCGTCGCTCTCGGCCTGGTCGAGCCACTCGAGGAAGGGCGCGGCGGCGCGGCGCACCTTCTTTGAGGTGTCCTTGTCGACGTACTTTTTGCTGACGTGGGTGCCCCAGCTCTTGACAAACTCCTCGTCGAGCACGTCGATCTGGTACAGCTGCATGAGCATCTTGGGCACGCCGTTGGGCACCAGCGACGGGTACTGGACGCCCGCCAGCCGCTCCAGGCCGCCCAGCAGCGACTTCTGGTGCTTTTCGCTGGTCACCATCTTGACCAGCACGGCGGCGTACTTTTCGATTTCCTGGGGCGCGTCCTCGGTGAAAAGGCCCTGGAAGAGGACCTGGACGGCCTTGTGCTTCTTGTCGATGCCGAGCTCCTGCGCCTTCTTGTACACCTCGGCGGGCGTGGCTTCACGTCCCTCTTCGCCGCCCTTGCGGTTGTCGAGGAGCCACTGGCCAAAGATGCCGTACGGGCTCTCCTCGTCCTCCTCGTCCTCGTCGTCGCCGAGCACGAGCGACGTCTTCATGTTGCCCTCGAGCGCCTTGACGCGCGCGGCGACGGCCTCCTCGCTCGTGTCGACCGACCAGTCGTCGTCGCCGCCGCCATTGGCGGCGCGCTGCTCGGCCGTGGGGATATCGGCGGCCTCGGCCTTGATGCGCTTGGTCAGCTCGTCGTCGCTGCCGTCGCCGCCGTCGCCGGCGTCCTGGCCGCCCGCCTTGCCGGCGCCCTTGGTGCCCTTGGCCTTCTTGGGCGGAGGGTGCTTGATGATAAACGTGGTGAGCTTGTGCTTCATGTCGACGCCGGTGCGCTTGCCGCACGCCTTGCAGTCGCGCAGCACGTCGCCGTCCTTTGTGATCTTGAGCGCCGTCTCGGGGTTCTTGCAGCTGCCGCACAGGACAAACTTGTCGATGAAGCCGTCGAGCAGCTCGCGCAGGCGCGGCGCCTCGTGGGCGCCGTTGACAATGTAGCGGTCGGTCTTGTCGTCGAAGCTCGTCTGGGCGCCGAGCTCGCAACCAAAGAACTTGGTCGGGTAGGTGGGCGGGCGGCTGAGGGAGCGGGCGATCTCAGACATGTTGGGGATGACGGTCTTGATGCCGTTGCCGCGGCCCTCGATCTTGGTCTGGAGGAGCGGCATGCGGTAGCGGTAGAACTTGTCCTCGACGTCGCGGCGGATGTTGACGACGGCCATGGTTGCGATCGGGTGCTAGCCTGCGGCTGCTGCGAGGTCAGAGAGGGTCGAAGATGACGGCGTGCGAGGGGCGAGTGGGAGGTCTGCGTGACGCTTGGCGGGCGAATATCACGGCAGGCTGCTGGTTGAGACGACCGGGGGCGAGAGCTGGTACGTCGTTATGGACGGAATGGTGGCTAAGCTGTCGGTGGTTGGCAGCGCAGCAGGCGGCGGTGGACGTTCAAATGAAGGGTGATTCGATGCTGATCAGGTGGCGCGCTGATGATGGCGGCGGGCGGTATTGCGGTAGGGTGGCTTGGCTCTACGGGCAAAGGACGAGTTGACGATCGGATGAGGTATGGTGGTGACTGCCTTTTCGGACATAAACGACGAGGCTGCCAAGCTGTACGTGATCCGAAGGGTAGATGGAGGGGGAGCGTGGGAGGGGTTGCGAGAGGCGTTCGAGAGAGGGGAAAGTGATTGGTTGCTGGTGCGAGGTGCGGCGGTGTCTTTGGCAATTCAAAGGGCGGGACGGCGGGGCCGATGTGTTTGCTGCGGTGCTGTGCGCGGCGAAGAGTGCCACGGTAGGCTGGATAGGCAGATATGTATGCTGCGAGGCGATGGCGGCTGTGATGGTGGTGGTGGTCGGACCGTTGCTCAGCGTCTGGTGGCGGGCGAGCAGGTCAAAGGGCCCGCCAGCCTGCCAGCCCAAAGTGCCAGCCAGGCCAGGCCAGCCAAGGCCTGGCAGGGTACAGGGCGCACAGCCGCTCGCTGCGCCAGGCACGCCAAGGCAGGCATTCCAAGCGCGCAAAATTTGCCCTTTTTTCCTGAATCGGGGCTGGCCGGCATCACTCGCCCGATCAGCACGACCGGAAGCGGCGGGCAGCGTTTCCCTCGCCTTTTCCAGCGCCTTTTCCGCTGCGCCGCTCCGGTCCTCGCCACCCCGACGACCGACCCAACAACAGAGCAGACCGGGGACCTCGGTGAGCATGCCATCGCCGAGCGGGCACGGAATCGCACGCTCACTGTCGCGCTCGCCGTCGGACTGGGCCTGCTACGAGATGTGGACAACAATGGACCTGCCCTGGGGTCTTGGTGGGACCGGGCACCATGACGGTAGAGAAACGGTGACGAGGCGGCGACGGGGCGCCATGTTGATATACAAGAGATACTGTGCAATCGAGGCAGGGAAAAGAGGCAGACAGAGGGTCGCCGGGCGTCTATGGTGAAGGCGAAAAGGGGCTCGGACGGAATGGCAGAGGGCGGGGGGGGGGGGGGAGGGCTTCAAGAGGGGATGGGGTATAGCGAGAGGCAAGGCTGCTTCTCGTTCGAGTGGCGTCTTGAAGCCCTGCAAAAGCAAAGGGGCTGGCGAACCGGCGGCGCTTGCGGGCTCAGCTCGGGATGGCGGCCTCGACGGCGAGCATCTGCTGGAACGCCTTGACGTCGGCGACGAGCTTGGCCGGCTTGATGGGCTTGACGAGCCAGTCGTCCATGCCCGCCTCCTGGCCGTGTCGCAGGTCGGCCTCGGACTGGAGGCTGGTCGTGGCCACGATCCTGCAGTTGCGCCGGGCCCTACCTGCCATCGAAGACCCGCTGTGCTCGTCCTGCTCGGCGGCGGCAAAGTGCTCGAGCTGGCGGATCTCAAAGCTGGCCTGGAAGCCGTCCATGACGGGCATCGTAATGTCCATCAGGACGAGGTCGGGCGCATGCAGCGCAAACATCTGCACCGCCTCGAGCCCGTCGGCGGCCTCGACGCAGCTGATGCCCGCCTTGGAGAGCGGGAACTGCAGCATGCGCCGGTTGATGGCGTTGTCGTCGACGATGAGCACCGTGAATGGCGGCGGCGCCGGGACGATGACGTGCGTCGTCGGCGCATGGTGCGCGGTGGTGCCAGCGCTCGTCGAGGCGACGGGGTGCGCGGCGTCAAAGGCGCAGCCGGGCACGAGGTGCGACGACGACGGTCCCGCGACGCCCGCCGTCGCTGCTGCGGTCGTCAAGTCTGCCGGCTGCCGCGAAGCTAGCATCGGCTGCGCCATATTCCAGCCTTGCGCTTTCGAGGTTGGCGGCGGGCGATGCCTTGCTACGGTCCAAGAGATTGATGAGGAGGTGGGCAGGCAGGCGACGTTCAGGGTCCTTGCCCGCGTAGGAAGGGTAGACAGAGGGAGGTGCAACGACAGCGACGTCGGTGGTCGAGGTGGCAGGAGCGGGATGGCAGGGCGAGGGATTTCGGGAGCAGGGCTGCCTGGCAAGGATGGCGCGTTGGTTATATCGAGTCGGCGGCGATGATGGAGGACGGGAGGGCAAGAGCAGGACACGGCTCCATGTCCATCCGTTGCCGTCGCTGCCCTGGCTCTCGTACAAGCAAGGCGGCGGGAGACCGCCTCGCATGACGCGGTGACGGAGACAATCCCAGCTCTAAAAAGCAGACGCCGGACTCGTGGGAAGCATGATGGGAGCAGCTGGGGCCAAGCAGGCCAGCAGAGAGGACGACAAGGGGCCGCAGCGGCGCCTCGTCAGAAGCTGAGACGACGGACGCCAAGGGGGGAGCGGGCGCAGCAGAGGTCCTGCCTGGCCTCCGATCCACGGGCACGAGGGGGGCAGCGGATTGTGGTACGGAAGTGGTGATCCGCGAGCCATGAGCAGAACCGTACCGCTGTAGCGATGGACAGATGGGAAGACAGACGAGAGGGACAGCTGCGCAAGGGTCGCCTCCTATGTCGTACCGCGGCTGGTCGGGAGGCAGCAGTCGGAGGATGACGGTAGCCGTCTAGGCGAGTCGGACCCTGTACCTTGCCCGGTTGCCTGCCCGTGCCCGCTGGTCTCGCCTGGATGAAGTACGGTCGTGGCAGGCGTAGGTGGCGCGCGTGGTGTCGCCAGGCCTGCGGTGCCACGTCCGGCCTGAGCCCCTCCGCGCCGTATTGAGGGGAGCGTCGCTCAGCCGTTGTAGGCAGCGGTAGGAAACCTTTTTCTTTGTCCCAGCTGCTTTTGCGATGGTGCACGCCCATCGAGCAGAGACGGAGTCAAAGAACGGTCAACCTCGTCTCGGCCTTTGGTTCGCGCCCGCCGAGTGCCCAGCGTTCGCGCCCCCCCCCCCCCCCCCCTCGGGCCAGATGACGGCGAGCTGCTTTGAGTGTTTGGTGCGGAGACGGAAATTGTTCATCAAAAAGCAAAACCCGGTCGGTCGGTCGGTCGGTCGGTCGGTCAGTCAGTCGGTCGGTCGGGCGTCCGCCAGTCCGGTGTGCGGCATGCAAACTAACGTACCGGGCGGGGGCCGTCAAGGCATCGCTACCGGTAACTGCCTCTACCCGCGGGGCTGTCGATATGGACATGGGAGCGCGACTTCCGAAACACGCAGGAGGTGGTGCTCAGTCAAGGTCGCGTCGACGCCCGCACATGACAGTCGTCGAGGTGACGGCGGTCTGCCAGGCAGGGAGGGAGCTCAGCTTCGCGAGGGGAGGATTCGACGGGACGGCGGAGTACAAAGCCTCGGCACCATGACGCCCCTTCACCTTGGGCAGAAGGTTTCCGCCCATGAATCCAACGCCAAGGCAGAGAGGTTGGCCAGGGCGGCGGAGGTATATGTTCCGCCGCACCGGTGTTGCCAAGAGGATGCCGCACTCCGCTATGCTACTTGGCCCCGCGGCGTCGGCCTGACCAAGAGACGGCGTTTCAAGGTAGAGGTGCCGCAGGCTCCTCAACTCCGCCACCCTCCGTTGCAGCAGCAGGGCGACAAAGATGCTGCGAGGGCCGCGCCGGATCGCCGTCTCGGTAGGCTGAGGAGTACAACGTCCGCTGCGTGGCGTCAAGGTGGAACGCCGCTCCCGATACCCCTCGCCAGGTTGCCCCGTTCCCGTGGCAAGATTCATACGCCGGACGATGCTGACGACCAGCCAACAGGGTCATCGCCTGCACCGTACGGCACTGTACCATAGCAACGCCCCCTTTCTCAGGGCCCGGACGGGTTCCTGATCTCCCGTCGACGGGATGTATTTGTTTAGCCTTTGCTGCAGTCGATCAATCCGTCGCCACGACGAGCTGGAGTCGCCGCAAGGACTCCGCCGTCGTCGCTGATCGCAAGCAGCTCGAGGTAGCGCGCGCACGGTGAGGCATGCCTGGCAAAGCTTCCCCTCGTCCATGCGCCGGACGAGGGGCACCGATCAATGGATGTGAGCGCCGGTCAGCACGCCTCCTCGACAACGGCCCGCAAACAATGATCGGGATCGCCTCTCCCTCCCGACATCCTGCCGCCACGCTCGGAGAAGCTGCGAGGAGGTCACCTGACAGCGCGGCCAACCGAAGGCCGTCAGCATGACCCCATGTTGACATGTTGAGAGGTCTGCCTGCCTGGCCAGGGTAGCTACGTAGGTCGAGCGGCCTGGTGCTGCCCGGGACGCTGCAGGCTCCGCTCACCGTGAGCTGAAGGGGCGACTGCACGGATCCGCACCAGTGGCCAGACCAAGCCAGTCCCGTCGTACCTTATCTCGTCAAGGGAGGACACGGATAGCGAGCCCGTTCGGTCTCGGGACCTTTGTCGGGCGCATGCGCCGTACCGACACTTCTGTAAGCGCTGCGTCCGCGGAGCAAGTGGTCGGGTACTCGCTGAAGGTGACCGGAGGTGAGCTCGAGTCCTGAAACGAAGTTGTCGAGCCGGCGCATCGTTTTGGGACCAACCAGGGGACAGCGACGACGAGGCGCCAAAGGTCCTGTGTCCACCTGTGTCGGCGCGGGCGGAAGCGGTGGATCCGCGGTGGGCAGGCCTGGCCAGACAAGCGAGCGGGCGAGCGAGCCAGCTATGTATGTAGGGCGGGACGTCGCCGAGACTGGACCGACATGGGATTCGCGCAACGAGGGCGGGGAGGGACGGACGAAACCGGATGTGAAGGTGCATCGCGCATGGTGGTGGTGGTCGGTCGGGCCCGCGGGCGGGGCGGGCGACGGTGGGCTTCGATCTTTGCGAACCTTTCCTCGCTCATCGCAGCCTTCGTTTGAATTTGAAGGACGACACCGAACAATGTAATAATGCGGAGGCAGGCGGGCCGTCTTGACGAGGGCGCCACTCTACTTCTTTGGAATCGCCGCCTGGCTCCGAAGAGAAGAAGGAAGAGGCAGGCCCGCGCAGCCTGGCGCTCGGCGTGCTGAAGCGAGTTTGAGTTGCGAGATGCGCGATGACCGCCATCGACAGGCCTGGCCGAGCTTGGATATTTTTGTGTCTTTATTTTGAGCTGTATGTATCTGTTCTTCCCAGGCAGGCTTTGACGGGGAGAGGTCAAACACCGGCGAGGTCGATGAGCCAAGATAGGTAGAGCTCTAAATTAGCGCTCGAGACTGGAGCTCCGGAGCGGCATGCTCGAGTTCACTCGAGGTGCCACCGTGACCCGTTCTGGTACGGGCCCAACCGACGGGCCAGCCGACAAAGCTCGCTACCGTGACCGCAGGTAGGGGCGCGACACCATCTGGAAAGTACTGTACCTAGGCATGGTGGTGCGTTAGCGTGCCGGTCGGTAGAGAGCGGCGAGGAACCGGAACAGCGCCATGCATGGCTTAACGAAGCATGGCCCATCGGCGGCACGCCTTTGGCAAGATCCAAGGACCAAGGCTCCAAACGAGCGATGCGATGCGATGTGATGCGATGCGATGCGAGTCGCCGGGGGGAACGGCAGCTGCGAACTCCCGAGACCAGCCCAGCCCGCCGTCGTTGCTTTGCGCCTGCTCTGCGAAAGCGTCGCAACCAACCATCCTTTCCGGCGCCCGCGCGAACCGCATGCCATGTCGACGAGACCGACCGACGGAGGCTAGATGAAACCGTGGACTACAGCTGTGCCCCACTGCTCCCCATTTCGGCGAGGGTGCGAGTTTCATCAAGCAGATTATTTGTTCTGCGCCGCGCCGCGCCGAGCCGTCCTCTTTCGGGCTTTGAGAGCAAGCCGCGGAAAGACTAGGGCGTTTTGCTTGCTTGCTTGCTTGTTGTGGTCCCCTGAGCCCAGCCGGAGATCTCGCTCGCTACCACCCTAGCCTGCCTGCAGGACCGGTAGCTGCAGGCCGATGAGACGGCTTGGCGCCCTCGGACGAGCAAGGGGAGATGGTGTGAGTGTCGGCGTCGGTACTGTAACTGCGACTGCGACTGCCTCAGCGACGGCTCTTGCGGAAACTCGCTCACCCACACAGCGACGTGACGATGCCAGGGGCGCAGAGAGAAAGAGAGAGAGAGAGAGAGAGAAAAGGGGAGAGCGAGAGCGCAAGCACTGGGGGAAATGGACCGTTCGAACCAGTTCCAACGTCTGGTTCCAAGGCTGTTGGAACCAGGTGTGGTTCCAACGTCCGGTTCCAACACCTGCACCAAGAAAGCGGCCTGCAGTGGTTCCAACATGGTTCCAACTGGTTCCAACAGGCCAAGCATGGCAGAAACTCAGAGGATTCTCTGATACGTATTATTCGAAATCGTTGGAACCACGTTGGAACCAAAAGTGGTTCCCGTGTGAGTGCAACCATTGGAACCAGAAAGTGGTTCTAATGTGCGTGCAACCCTTGGAAACCACCGTTGGAACCCTGGTTCCACCGCGCAATTTCCCCCAGTGAAGAGAGAGCGAGAGAGGGTCTAGACCGGCGACCGGCTGGCTGGACAAAATTGGGGTCGCTCCTTCAGGGGCCCAGGGGCCAGGGCGCGCGTGTGAGAGAGAGCGAGCTCTAAAAAAGAAGACGCAGGGCCTGGCAGGCGGGCGACTTTCCGGGTCTCCATGTGTCGCCCTCGCCCGTGGTCGTGACCCGGGTGCAGGCTCGCAACCCGCGATCTGGGACGAGGATCGAGGCGGGCCTCACCTTAAACTTCGACCTGCGTCTTGCGTCCTGCGCCGCCGCCTCGTTTTTGCTTTCAACGGGCAGGCCAGCGCTCGAGCGAGCGAGCAAGCAAGCAAGCCAGCATCCTTTGCGGCACCATCCGAGGGTAGCGGCACTCGAACGAGTACTCTCGGTCTTGCCCGAGCGGAATGCCTCCGCCCTCGACGACGGAATGGTGTTGCCTTGGTATCCTTGGCTTGGCTTGGCTTCCGCGGCTCAAACGAGGCAGGCTGGCCAACAGTAGGCTGTCGCGACGTTTGCCTTTTTCGCTCGGCACAGCGGGCCCCCTGTTCCGAGAAGTCGGTACACCCGCCTGATGCCAGGGCCGGGGGCGGTGCAAGAGGGCCCCGCTGCAAAACGGCCTCGCCTCGGTAGCGAGCCAAAAGCCTTGCGGCCCGTACCGGTACCGGTACAGGCTAGGCTAGGTACGTACTGTACCTTGCCCTCTTTGCAGGCCCTCGAACTGCTCTCCTGCTTGCCTGCCTGCCTGCCCCGTTTGCACGCCGAGCGGACGGCGGGCTCGTGCGACCTTGCTTTTGCCGTATCGTTGCATGCCTTGCGCTGTCACTCGGTCCTCGCTGCCCACCCCTCCGTCGTCCGTCGGGGGTCGGTGCGCCGTTGAGCTGGGCCGCCCCTTTGTGCGCCCGGTGCCGCCGCACAAGGAGGCAGGCAAGAGAGAGGTAGCTCTTGCTTGTGCCGGTGCGACAACCGCGCAACCACGCTCCGAGCAAGCCTCTGGCCAGCCTGGTCTAGTCGTCTGGCCGAGACTGGGCGGACCTACATACGCTGCGCGCCCGACATAAGTTTGGCACGTCCGGTACGGTACGGTAACCTACCGCCTATGTAGCGCCTTGCTTGGCTCTGATCTGACCCTGCTTGCCTGCTTGCTTGCATCTCGTGCCAACGAGGGCCACTAGGCTGGCCCTAGATCCGCACCATTGCCCTGCTGGCCCTAGATCCGCACCATTGCCCTACGTGCCGAGCGCAAAACCGGCATTCTCTTGCGCGCGCGTCTGCCTAGGGCACCGGCCAGGCATCGCCGTACGGTGGAACGCGCTGGAACGGTACAGAACATGCAGAGGCGGATGGCGAACGACGCGAGCAAGAAGCAGAGGCCCTTGCAGCCAGGCACCGCGGACCCGCGGCAGGGCCCGACCCTCATCCTGGCTGGCCAAGAAGCCTGGCGTGCGTACGGAGCCTGGCCCAATGTCAACCTCACCCCATCATGTATAGACATATCGCGTGCTGTTCGGGCGACTGCCGCTGCGTCGTTTGGCAGTGATCCGACGGCAGCGTGACAGGCAGGTCCAGCAGGCTCGGCCCAGGTCGAGGGGAGCAGGCAGGGGCGATGCAAGGGGACGCCCAAACAGAAGAGAGGGGGTGGGGTTGGGGTTGGCCGGCAGCCTGCCTTGCCTGCCTCGTCCGTGTCGGAGTCGTTGGTCCTCCAAGCACGGGGGGCAGCGCGGGTGAGGACCGTCCAGCGGGCCGGTACAGTACGGTGGTGGTCGACGCCCGGCGGCGATGATGGTGGTGGACATCGGTGGCCTGCCCTCTTTGGGCGCTCGGATGCCTCCTGGCGGTATGGGGGGTCGAGCAAGCCCGTCTGGCTTCAAAGGTTGATTTGAGATTTAGAGCTCGAGCCGCAGGACTGGCGAGCGCAAGGGGCCTCAGGAGGCCAAGTCCGCCTGCCTGCTCCTCCTTCGCTCCCTCACTCTGTTTGCCCGCCCACCCGTTTGGTCGGCCCGCCAGCTGCGCATGTGGGAACAAAAGCCTGGCGAGAGAGAGAGAGCCCCTCGCCCTCACCCAGGTTTGGGTTTGACGCCGAGGCAGCTCGCGGGACGACAAAGGACCCTGCCTGGCCTGGCCCAGCCCAGCCTGCCTAGCTCCGCTTTCTCCCTCTCTGCCCGCCCGCCTGGCCGCCTGCCTGCTGGGCCTCAAGGAGGCAAAACTACCTTCCCAACGAGGACGCAACAACGGGGCGGCTGCGATACCACGGCACCATGCCTTAGGCTGCCTGCCTGGCTGGCCGTCGCCGTCGCCGTCGCCGTCTCAACGGGCCCGACCTGGCCTGGAGATATACATATCCCTCGCCTTGGCTTCTGATCTTCACCATCGACTCCCGATAGCCTCTTCGCCCCTTGGCCCCCGCCCTCGCCTTGCTAGTAGTAGTAGTGTGTCCAGCTTCAGCGTCCATTGTCCTCGTCCTCCCTTCGCCCGAAGCACCCACGCTCCCTCCGCCTTCGTCCCCCTCGATCTTGGGATTCGCCAACCTCCTCTTAGGCTTTCATGTCGACCTGAACACGAGCAGCGCCATCGATACTCGTCACCCCGTCCTGCCTCGCCTCGTCCAGGACACCAGAACTTGTGCCAGCATGCCCCACGACGCCTCTTCCTCTTCCTTCGCCGCCCTGGACCGCCCTAGTTCGGCATCGGCATCGGCGTCGGCACCACCACCACCACCAGCACCGCACTTCCTCGACGTACCAGCGCTCTCGTCTTCCTCGTCGTCCTCGTCCTCTTCGTCCTCGTCCGAATCGGGGCCCTCGACTCCCGGCCGTCCGCTCCCGACGTGCACGTCTGCCTCGTCGGCAAAGGCCCACGCCGCCCGCACCCTCGGCCAGGGCACCTGCACCTCCGAAGACCTCGCCCGCGCTTACCAGAAGCAGGTCCTCCGCGATCAGGCCAAGCGCCTCGAGTCGATCCTCGGCCTCAGCCAGCCCCTCTTCCCCACTCTCGCGGGTCAGGAGCAGAAGCACGGGCAGCCATCCCTCGACGCGGCATCAGCATGGCCACCTTCTTCGGCCTCGGCCCGCGGGCCTATCACGTCCACCTCGGCCTTGACCGCACCGCGCCCACACCCGTCCTTCTCCTACGAGCAGCTCTTTGACCACCTCCCCGACGCCGTCCTCGTGCTCTCACCCCTCGACGGCCAGGTGCTGTACACGTCGGCCGCCTTTGAAGCCATGCTCGGCCTCGGCCAGGCCGCCGGCATCGCCGCACCCCACGTGCTGGCCCTGGACGAGCAGCTGGTCGGCACCCTCCTGGTCCAGCACAGCCACCCGGACGACGTCGCCCTCGTTGGTCGGCTGCTCCGAACCGCCCGCTCGACCCAGCCCGACGCTGGCCCCAACGACGAGGTCATCCGCCTCCGCCGCAGCGACGGCCTCTTCGCCGCCTTTGACCTCCGAGCGCGCTGCTGCTTCTTCGACGGCGTCAGCGCAGACGACAAGCCAGAGCGACTCGTCGTCTGCAGCGCGCGGCCACGGGAGCTTCCCGCTTTCCCATCGACCTCGATCCGCTGCACCGGCGGCCGCGTCGATGCCGCACACGCTGCCCTCGGGCCCTGTGTGCGCCTGCTCGTCTCTGCGGCCGGCCTCGTCCTCGATGCCTTTGGTCACGACGACACGCTGCAGCGCCTGTTGGGTGCCACCAGGACCGAGGTGCGCGGCTCTAGCCTCGATGACCTCTACCAGCACGCCGACGCCAGGGACCCGCTCAAGGCCATCCTCCAGATGGCCGTCGACTCGGCGCGCGCCCAGAGCGGCGAGTTCCGCACGCCCAGGCTGCCCCTCGTCACGGCCATCGTCGTACCCTGCGTCTCGCCGGCCGATGGGCGGGTGTCCAAGGCCTTTATCGAGCTATCGTCGCCCTACCTGCCCGAGCCCGCCCCCGCGCGCCTGGCCGGGTCTAAGCGCCGGGTATCGGCGGGCGACGCGGCGACCTACGCGCCCTGGTCCGCCCACGCGCAGTCCTCGACGGCGGAGCGCACCCTGCTCTCGCGGGAGAGCGAGTACCTGCGCGCCGAAAACGAGCGGCTGCGGCAGCAGCTGCTGCTCAAGGCGAGGTCGAGGAGCGCCGTGACGCGCGCCGTGGCCGCCGCCGCCGCAACGACGGCCATGGTGCCCGCGGCGGTGAGGACGCAGATGATGGCGGCGCACCAGCAGCAGCAGATGCACCGGCAGATGCAGCTCCAGATGCAGCAGCAGCTCGCGCAGCAGCAGCACCTGCACCTGCTCGCCGCCCAGCGCAGCCAGCAGGCGCACATGCTGCCCCCGGCCCACCCGTTGCCGTACGGCGGCGGAGATGCCCAGGCGACCATGGCGGCCGTCGCTGCTGCCTCTTGCATGGCCGAGATGCCCAACGTGATGCAGACGGCCTGGGTCGCCACCCACGCCCACAACGCCGCCGCCCAGGGCCTCTGCGTCGACCTCGCAGGCAGCAACGGCAACGTCGGCGACCTGCCCCCCGGTGGCGGCGTCGGCAGCGCGATGCCGTTTTTCGAGCCCTCGAGCCACCTCGACATGGGCGCCTACCCCGTCTTTCCGATGATGCCCTAGACGGCTGTGGCCCATCCCGCCTCCCGCCCCGTCTTTCCCCTCCCCCCTCCGCCTCCGGCGTCCTTGCTATCGTCTCGCCCTGTCGCGCACCCCCTAATCGCGCTCTTTGGCCGTCACGGACATTCACGCACCTCGTCGACCATATCCCCCACCACTGGATGCCGCGGATGTTCACGGCGGATCCCCTGCGTCCCCGCCCCGCTCCCGTCTCGCGTCCCTGTATTTGTACTCGAACCGGTCCCGTTTCCGTTTTGCAGCGAGGAGAGGAAGAAGCAGGTAATGGCATCAAGGAGAAGTCCGCATCTGTTGCCCGGAGAAGGGGCTCTGCCGGTACCGGTATCGAGGAATGAACTGGGCCCTGCTGCCCTTGGCGTGGTTGGCCGACTGGGTTGGCCGCGTGCGGTGCTTGCCTATGTAGCTGGCTAGCCCCGGATCCAGCGTTCCAGCTCGCGGTCCATGGCCATGCCTCTCCTCGTCTTCCGCCTCTGACCAGCCTCGTCGCCCGCCGTTGCCGCGTCGGGACCAATACCAGCGCTAGCGCCAGCGCCGCCGCCGCCGCCGCCGCCGCTCGACGGCTCGTCGATCTCGAAATCGAAGTCGACGTCGTCCTCGCTGCTGAGCGCCGCGTAGTCGTCGTCGCTCAGCTTGAGCACCACTCCCCCACCTCCTCCTGCGCCGCCGCCTGTTCTCGACTTGGACGTCTCCCCGCCCTCTCCCCTCTTCGCAATGCCCTCCCTGTCCCCTGCGCCGCCATTGCCGCTGCCGCTCCCACCGCCGCCGCCACCGCGGGTGACGCCGCCTTGGAGCCAGCGTTTCTCCTCGTACCGCTTCTCCTTTTGTGGCCGGAACGACGCCACGGCCTCTCTCGTTTCCTTCCACCTCTCGACCTTGGCCTTGCTCGGCGGTTCCTCGCCCTCGTCGTAGTGCGGCATGATGGCGTTGGACAGCGTGACGTGCAGCTCCTCGAGCATCTTGACCGTCGCGATGTCCGTCTTCTCTGTCCTCTTGCTGTCCGCCTCCCGTTGCCGGGGAGGGACGTGGGCAGATACCAGCTGCGGAAGCGTGCGGTACGTCTCCACCAGGTCCAGGCACCTCCGCGAGCGTGCCGCCTGGTGGGTGCTCGCCCGCGAGGCCCGGTTGGCCACCAGCAGCAGCCGGTACAGCAGCGCGACGTCGAACCCTTTGGAGGTCGCATCCGCGTCCATCACCGCCCCCGCTTGCCGCGACGACGCCGACTCCTCCTTGGACGAGCCTTGACGCGGCCCCCAGTCGGCGGCGAACATCTTGAACGTGTCCTCGGCCAGCTGCCATAGGTCGACAGCGCCCCTACCCTCGGACTCGAGCATCTGGGCCGTCAGGCCGCCGAGCGCCTCCCTGCCCTCGACGACGCCGTGCGCGATCGACCGCAAAGACCGCGCGTACGTCTGGTCGGTGGGCAAGAAATCGGGCGGCTGGCGCGACGCCTTGAGCACCACGACGGTGCCCACCGGATCAATCGAGAAGCCCAGCGCCACGAGCGTCGCCGCCACGCCGCGCGACGACAGCAGCGGCCCGAGCGGTCCCGTCCGGTCGCCGTCGCGGCGCTGCAGGCTGAGCGCAAGGAACTGGTTGAAGTAGTC